CTAACATTTTGTGATTCATGTCCAAGCATTGCGGATGCCAGTCTTCAGCCAATTTGATTAACTTCATGTAATATCAATAAACAGCTGAAGTCCCTGGATAAAGGAAAAGCTTTTGAGTTTTGACAACATCATACAAGTAGTACCGAAGAATTATACATTAGAACCAGTTAAGCACCCAGCCAACCTGTTCAGTGCAACTATAACAGTAATATCTACCTGACAGCGTGGAATATTGCCAATGTATGTCATGTCCACAAAAAGCAGGACAAATCCAATCTGGCCATCAATACACACCCTGTCTTCAGCAAAATGATAGAAGGTATCACTGATAATGCTATCAAGTGGCACTTTCTCAGCAATAAACTGCTCACTGATGTTAGCTTTGGATTCTACCAGAGCCACTCTGCTCCAGACCCTATAAAAGCTTTGGTTTGGACATAGGCAAAGTTAGATGAAAGTGAAAACTGCTGTTGATATCAAGGCAGAATTTGATTGAGAATAAATATTGTCCTTGTCTTGCTGCATTTGAATATGGACTGCTTCAGTATCTGAGGAACCACAAATGGTGCTAAACATTGTACAATATTCAGCAAATATCCCACTTCTGACCTTGTGATGGAGGGAAAGTTATTGATGAAGCAGCTGAAGGTGGTAACTGTAGAACACTACCTTGAAGAACCCCTGCAGGGTTTGCCTGGAGCTGGGGTGACTGACTTTCAACAACCACAACCATCTTCTTATGTGTCAGGTATGACTCCAACCAGCACAGAGTTTTCCTTCTGATTCCCATTGGTACCAGTTTTGGTGGGGCTCCTTGATGCTATACTTCGTCAAATGCGGCCTTGATGTCTAGGACAATCCAAAGATGTGCAAGTTAGGTGGATTGGCTGTGCTAAATTACCCATAGTGTTCAGGGATGTGTAAGTTAGGTGTGTTAGCCATGGGAAATGCAGGGTTACAGGGATAGGGTAGGGGGATGGGTCTGGGTGGGATGCTCTTTGGAGGCTTGGTATAGACTTGTTGGGCAGAATGGCCTGTATCCACACTGTGGGCGTTCTATAAAGTTCTATAATTCACTTTCACCTCATCTCTGAAATTTAGCTCTTTTTTCTATGTTTGAACCAAGGTTGCAATAAGGTCAGGAGCTGAGTGGCCCTAGTAGAACCTAAATTGGACATCAGTGAGCAGTTGATTGCTGAGCACTTGATGACACTTTGCATCACTTTACTCATGATCAAGAGTGGACTGACAGAGTAGTAGTTGGCCAGGTTGGATTTGTCCTGCTTTGTGTGTACAAGACATAACTGGGCAATTTTCTTTATTTTCGGGCAGATGCCAGGGTTGTAGCTGTGCTGGAACTGCTTGGCTGTTATGGGTGCGGCATATTCTGAAGCACCAGTCTTCACTATTATTACTAAAATGCTGTCAAGACCTATAGCCTTTGTAGTATCCAATGCCTCCAACTATTTCTTGATTTCATGTGTTGTGAATTGAATTGACTGAAGAGTGACACCTGTGATGTTGGCAATGGATCATCCACTTCAGCCTAAAGATTATCACAAATGCTTCAGCCTTATCTTTTGCACTAATGTGGATGAGGATGGGGATATTTATGGAACTTCCTTCTCCAGTGAGAAGTTTAATTGTGCACCACAGTTCATGACTAGATGTGGCAAGACTGCAGAGTTTAAATCTGTTCTGTTGGTTGTGGAATCGCTTAATTCTTTCTATCACCTGCTGCTTAAATTGTTTGGCATGCAAGTAGTCCTGATTTGTAGCTTCACCAGGTTAACAGCTCATTTTATGCCTGGTGCTGTTGGCACATCCTCCTGCGTTCTTCTTAACCAGAGTTGGTCCTGTGGCTTAATGGTAATGGTAGAGCGGGGGATATACAAGGCCATGAGGTTGCCAATTGTGCGAGAGTATGATTCTGCTGCTACTGATGGTCCAAAACACCTCATAGATGCCCAGTATTGAGTTGCTAGATCTATTCAACATCAATATCATTTACCACAGTGGTAGTGTCAGAAATCACATGTCACCACACTATAGTTACCATCACTGACGAAGGAGCAGCGCTTCGAAAGCTTGCGATTTCAAATAAACCTGTTGGACTATAACCTGGTATTGTATGACTTCTGACTTTGCCCACCCCTGTCCAACCTCGCACCTCCACATCACAGTGAATGTGCCACACAACACAATGTAAGGTATGACCAATGTGAAGGCGGGACTATGACTCTACAAGGAATGTGCGATGTTCACTCTTAACCATACTGTCATAGACAGATGTATTTGCAGCAGGTAGTTTGGAGAAGCTGAGTGAAGTATGTTTTTCCTCTTGTTGGTTCCCTCATTACCTTCCACATACTGAGTCTAGCAAAAATGCCTTTTATAGTAGAGTGCTGCCAAGCCACTCTTGGCGATGGACAATGAAATCGCATTCATTAGCTAAGGGAGGTACATTGTAATCAGTAGATTTCCTTGCCCATGTTTGACCCGATGCCGTGAGACTTCACGGTGTCCGGAGTCAATGTTGAGGTCTCCCGGGGCAACTCCTTCCTGACTGTATACCATTATGCTGCCAACGCTACCGGACCTGTCATACTGGTGCGACAGGCTATATTCAGGTATGGTGTTGGTATTGTCTGGGGCATTGCCTGTAAGATATGATTGGGTGAATATGAATATGTTAGTCTGATTTTAGTTAGGTGCACTTTGCAGGGTCGAGTGGGCTGTTTATCATTGTTATTTCTGGTACCTAGGTCGATGCTAAGTGGTTCATCCAGTTTCATTTCTTTTTTGAGGATTCATAGTAATTATAGAGTTACAGAATCATAAAGTCATACAGCACAGAAACAGATCTTTTGGTTCAACTCATCCATGCCGACCAGGTCTCCCAAACTAAACTAATCCCATTTACTTGTGTTTGGCCTATATCCCTCTAAATCTTTCCTATTCATGTACCTGTCCAAATGTCTTTTAAATGTTGTAACCGTACCTGCATCTACCACTTCCTCTGGAAGTTCATTCCATATATACAACACTTTCTGTGTGAAAAAGTTGCCCTTCAGACCCCTTTTAAATCTTTCCCCTTTCACCTTAAAATTATGCCCTCTAGTTTTGAACTGCTCTAATCTAGTGAAAAGACCTTTGCTATTCACCCTATCCATGCCTCTAATGATTTTATAAAACTCTATAAACTCACCCCTCAAACTCCTGCGCTCAAGGGAATAAGTCCCAGTCTATCCAGCCTCTCCTGATAACTCAAACTCTCCAGTTCCAGTAACATCCTTGTAATCTTTTTTCTGCATCCCTTCCAATGTATTAATATCCTTCCTAGAGCAGGGCAACCAGAACTGTACACAGTATCCCAAAAATGGCATCGCAAATATCCTGTACAGCCACAACACGATGTCCCATCTCCAATGCTCAATGGAAATTCTAACGAAACTGAGCACTGGAGCATGATTGACAAAAATTCATTACCAGCAGTCAGTATTTGGACTTTCCATGGTTGCTTAAACATCACCATCTGATAGACTTGTCATGGTAAAGTCATTCTTTCTAATCTGATTTAGAACCTCCTGTAACAATTATTTCAACTGAATGGTTTGCTAGCCCATTTCAGAGGGGAGTTAAGAGTAAACCAGATTGCTGTGGGTGTTGAGTCACATGTGCCCAGCCAGGTAAGGATGTCAAATTTCCTTCACTTAAAGACATTACTGAACAGACGCATTGCCTGATAATTAACAGTGATTATATAGTTATCATTATATTCTTAATTCCAGGTTTTTATTCAATTTAAATTCCACCATTGCCCATGGCGGGATTCAACCTACATCCACAGGACATTGGGGAGATGAAACGCAGACTCGATTACTGCTTTGCAGAACAGTTACATTCTGTCTGCAAAAATGCCACTTCAACATACCACCGTATTCCTTGGCCAACATCTTTGTCTCAGGCTTACCACAAGGCTCAGTGCAAACTGGAAGAACAGCACCTCATTTTTCATTTGGGGACCGTGCAGTCTTCAGGACTCAAAATATTGAGATCAATAAATTTAGAACCTGTACCCCTTCTTCCATGTCCTTTTACACAGTCCCACACCCCAGACCCTCAGATAACACAGGCTGCTTTCAGCACAGCCAGCCCATTTTAAAGTACTTACGGGCCCCATTATGAGCTTTTCTTTCTCCCTGGCATACTATCATCCATCCCTCTGTCTACCTAACTGTCATTCTCTCTCTCTCTGTCTGGTCTCAATCTCTGCCTATCTGCTCACTTCACCAACCATTTTCAGTACATGTACTACCTTTTCTTGGCTACTATCCACGCTGAAAAAGCGTGTCAATGGACTCGAAACATTAACCCTGCTTTCTCTTCACAGATGCTGCCAGGCCTGCTGTGTTCCTCCATCAATTTCTGTTTTTCTTTCAGATTTCCAGCATCCATAGTTCTTTGTTTTATAAATTTAACTACATAACACTAGCTGGATTTTCTTGATAAGCAAGGAGGTGAAAGGTTAGTGGGACAGATGGAATGTTGCATAATCAGATCTTATTCAAGTTACAGCAAGTTCAAGCTTACTCCTGCTCCTAATTTATATGTACGCTCATTACTTTGGGAGTCTGGTTTAAGGAATATTAACTGCTCCTTCCATATATCCTGCCCCACCCAATGGAATTGCTTTTGAATAATTAGTGCCTTGATGCTTTGTGAGTTGTCTGGTAAATTATGCTGCTGTTGGTGTGCTTTCAGTGCTACTGCATTTGGAAGGTTCTTATGAAGGTACCATTGATGGCACTTTTCCAATATTTTGAAATGTTTATTGCAGATTATCTCAATCTCTGAAGTATATGTGCACTTCTTCTGCATTCTTTTCTAAGAACTAGCAAAGTTCTTTCAGTAGGAAACAGCAGGAAACCCAAAACTGAACACAATTTCCGATTAGACCAATCTAAAAAATACATATATATAAAAGTTTAGATTTTTACCTAAAAAATTCAGCTATTCCAAGTTCACTGAATGAACCCCTCAAGAGTACCTTCTTTTTCTTCCTTGAATCAATGGCTATTATAGTAGGGTACATCAGGCCACCAATACCCAAAGCATTTTCTAGTCCTGTCTGTTCACCAGATTCTATCCACAGCCAGCTAAAATGGATGAAAGCATTTTTGTTATACCATGTCATTCAACATGAAAACCATTTTTCTTTCCCAATTACATATTATCACGCATACTAAATATCCAGGTAGCTGGATACAAGCATTTTAGTTGAAGATTAAAAGGGGTTTTAGAAATTAAAAATCTGATCTCAAAAAGACATTCATTCAAAGTTTCTTACAGAATTAGGAGTAGTACTACGAGTCCCTTGCTTTTACTTATAATTTGGGATCCAGAATTGTTCCTACAATCTGAAAGAAGACTGATTTTGTACTGAAGTTTAAAAAGAGTAACCAGTCAGAATTTGGGCATTTATAGGCCAGTTGGGTTATGTCAGAAATTTGTTTGAATGAATCATGATGATACTGAATAAGCAACTTTGGCAGTGACAGGGTTATTAGAGACTTGTAGTATTGTTCGTGGAAAACAAAGCCATGTCTTACCATCCTGGTTCTGAGGAAGGGTCACTTTGTCTTCATTGATGCCACCAGACCTGCAGAGCTTTTCCAGCAATTTCTGTTTTGTTTCTTACCATCCTGATACTAGTTTAATTGATATAAAATATACATTTGGACTTTTTAAAGAGCTACAAACAAAATGCCATATAATGGATTATTATATAAAATTGTGTCTTTATGGGATTTGATGGGTAATTAGTTATATTCTCACAGGCAGAGGGTTTTAATTAATGGTAGCTATTCAATGTGGATTAGTGGTCTTCAGCAAGGGTTAATATTAAGACTTTTGAATTTCACAATCTAAACAAGTGTAGAGAGCATTCAGTGGAGTGCACACCTCTGTGTTAACTCAACATTGCTACAAATATGCAGTTTTTGCTGCCTAGTTGATATTCTGTAAGTACAGAACTAAACATTTTTATTTTCTTAAGAACTTTCATTGCGCTAAGGAGGTTTCAGGCCAATCCAGATCCAACAATCTCCTCTAAAAACTCTGGTCATATTTTGACAGCTGTGACAAATTCCACTAGAGTAGCTGAGACAATCCACAATATTCTAAAAGTCAACAATATCCAAATAACACAACCCACAACATTCTAAAAGAAGTCAATCTGCCTATCTCCCAACATTAATGGATGCTTCAAAAAAACTGTAGAATCTACACAATCTTTCCAAAGAACTAATATGTTCTTCCAAGGAACATACCTGTCTATTTATCAAATTTCATTGAAATATATTAACTTTTATAAATATTGGCTACAAATAAATAATGTAACAAACATAAATTAAAACATTATCTCTGGAACAGGTAATTAATGATCTTGAGTAAAGGCAGTGGACTATTGTGAATTCACTGCAAACTTTCAAAGAAAGAGGTGTTCAAGTTCCAGACGGTGGCCAGTAGCTGTGCATAACAAGTTAAAAAAATGTTGGATGAGGTATTCTTTAGTTTTTTTTATTCACTCACGGGATGAGGGCATCACTGGCTAGGCCAGCATTTATTGCCCATTCCTTATTGCCCAGAGGACAGTTAAGAGTCAACCACATTACTGTAGGTCTGGAGGCACGTGTATGCCACACCAGGTAAGGCTGTTTCCTTCCCTAAAGGACATTAGTAAATCAGATGGGCTTTTCTGACAGTTGACAATGGATGAGAATGGATCATTGAACTCTTAATTCCAGATTTTCTTGAAAACTGAATTCAGATCCACCATCTACCATGGCGGGATTCGAACTTTAAGCTGTAGTTTTGATCACATTTAGAAGGTGGAAGTGAAATTTCCTCAGACCTTTTTCACTTAAATTAACTTTAATGTCATTTAATCTGTTTTGTTTTGGATTCCTTAGGGGATTAAATGGCGTCTAGTGGGAGGGATGAATTCAGAGTTAAGATACTTATTTGCCAAGCGATAGATTAATGAGCCAATGGATCTTTCTCTTCACACCATTCTCTTTTGGTTTGTATCAATAAAATTCATGCTGATTTGTAAAAGAAACCATATTCTGATTAAAATTTCTGAAAAGCGTCTCTAAATAGAAAGACTGTTAGATAAGCAATAGTCTACTTTCAAATGGATGACAAAGCAACCTTTTTCTACTATAAATTCTAATGTTTTTAAGTACAAAAGAAGGAATATCTTCTGGCACCTCTCCAAAATGGCCATTCTACATGAACCTTGACTGTGAATGCAAGATTTATTTAACCAAGGAGATTTCAGTGAAGCTAAATCCTGTTTTATTAAATGCTAGCATGTGCACTCCAAAAGTTAATTGCACCACCATTGGCAGCTGAACACTCTGTCACCAATGTCCGAAGCTCTAGAATTCCATCCCTAAATATCTCAGGCATTCTACCTCTATCCCCCTTTTCTTAAACCCTACCATTTTGACAAAAGTTTTCATCATATTACTTAATAATTATGTGCCTTCATATCAAATGTTGCTTGATACTGCCTATTTGAGTGCTACACTATATGATTGCACAATATTGTTGTTGTAGACAGAAATCTGCAGTGGAATGCTGGATCACTTTTCTACTCCTCAGCTCAGATACTGAACGGAAATTGCAGCAGTCCTACTGTTGAGATCAGCTAGCCTGGCATGTAAATCTAACTGCGAACCTATTAGGCTGCATGAATTAGTGTTACACCAAGACATTAAGACATAGGAAAAGAAGAAGGCCATTCAGTCGATCGAGTCTGCTCCACCATTCAATGAGATCATTATTAATCAGATAATCTTCAACTCCACGTTCCTGCCTCTTCTCTACACTCTCAATTCGTTTATTGATTAAAACTTGGTCTATTGCAGCCTTGAATATACTTTACAACACAGCCTCAACAGGCCTCCACAGTAAAAAAAAATTCCAAGCATTCACTATCCTCTGAAAGATGAAATTCCTCTTCATTTCTGTTTTAAATGTGTGATCCCTTATTTTGAGCTTATGCCCTCTGGTATTAGACTCTCTCATAAAGGGAAACAACCTGTTCATATCTCACCTTTTAGTCCCCCAAGAATCTTGTATATTTCATTAATATTGCCTCCCATTCTTCTATATTCCAATGCATACAGGACCAATCTACTCAACCTCTCCTCATGACAGTCCCAGAATCAATCTCATGAACCTTGCTGTGGTTGGTTTGCTCACCGAGCTGGTCCGTTAGTTCGCAGATGTTTCATTACCCTGCTGGGTAACATCATCAGTGCATTACCCAGCAGGGTAATGAAACGTCTGCGAACTAGTGGACCAGCTCGGCAAGTGAACCAACCACAGCATCCACAACCCTAGCTACAAATCTGGTCAAGAACCTCATGAACCTTCTCTGGACTGCTTCCAATGTCAGTATATCTTTCCTTAGATAAGGGGCCCAAAACTGTTCAGAGTACTCAGCTATTGTGACTTGTATAGTTTTAGCAAAACCTCCCTTCTTTTATATTCCATTCCCTTCAAAATAAAGGCAAACATTCCATTTGCCTTCCCTATTACCGGCTAAAATCGGATACTAGCTTTTATAATTCAAGCACAGGATTATCAATTTCCTCTGTGCTGTAGCTTTCTGCAGTTTATCTCTATTGAGGTAATATTCAATTCTTCTACATTTCCTGTCAGAGTGCAATATCTCACATTTTCCCACATTATATTCCATCTGCCAAGTTTTTGCCCACTCGCTTAAGCTAAATCCCTTTGCAGACTCTTTGTGTTGTCCTGACCACTTGCCTTTCCACCTACTTTTGCGTCAACCCCACATAGCTTGGCAAAAGTACATTCACTTTGCTTATCCAAGTCATATATATTGTAAATAATTGTGGCCCCACCACTGATTGCTGTGGCACTCCACTAGTCTCAGGTTGCCATCCTGAAAATGCACTCCCTTTATCCCAACTCTAATTCTTCAATTAGTTAGCCAATCCTCTATCCATGCTAATAAACTACCTCCAGCACCATGGGCTATGATTCAAAGACTCTGGCTTACCACTAATCTTTGCCACATCGTGTGTTTCTCTTTCAATTTGACGCTATCAAATTCAATTTGATGAGTGTCTTTGGAACGCCTGGGGGTAGGGGTGGGGTGTGGCAGGCAGATTCCTTGTGTATATTTAAGGCTGAGATAAATAGATAGATAGATAGATAGGTAGACAGATATATAGATAGATGCTTGAACAGTAAGGGAATCAAGGGTTATGGGGAAAAGACAAGAAAGCGGGCGTGAGGAATGTAGGATCTGCCATAATCCTACTGAATGGCAGAGCAGGCTTGAAGGGCTGAATAACCTCATCCTGTTCCTATTTCTTATGGTTTTATGGTCTAATTACACTACTGAGCTTAAGAAAGAGTTGTCGCTGACCCAAGTTTATCCCTCTCAAACTGAATGCTAAGTTCTACCATGGTTTCCAAGGGAATCCTTTAGAACATAGAACAGTACAGCTCAGTACAGGCCCTTCGGTCCACAATGTTGTGCCGACCTATGATACTATTCTAAGATCAAACTGACCTGCATATCCTTCGTTTCACTATCATCCATGTGCCTATTGAAGAGTTGCTTAAATGTCCCTAATGTATCTGACTCTATTACCACCGTTGGCAGTGCATTCCACTCACCCATCACTCTCTGTATAAAGAACCTACCTCTGACATCTCCCCTATACCTTCCTCCAATCACCTTAAAATTATGCCTCCTCGTGATAGCCATTTCCGCCCTGGGAAAAAAGTCTCTGGCTATCCACTGTATCTATGCCTCATCATCTTGTACAACTCTATCAAGTCAACTCTCATTCTTCTTCGCGCCAATAAGAAAAGCCCTAGCTCCCTTAACCTTTCCTCATAAGACCAGCCCTCCAGTCCAGGCAACATCCTGGTAAATTTCCTCTGCAACCTCTCTAAAGCTTCCACATCCTTCCTATAATGAGGTGATCAGAACTGAACACAAAATTCCAAGTGTGGTCTAACCAGGGTTTTATAGAGCTGCAGCATAACCTCGCGGCTCTTAAACTCTATCCCCCTGCCAATGAAAGCCAACACACCATATGCCTTC